GAACCAGTTAAATAAAGGCTTTTCTGAAGAAGAGGATTTTGAGTCTGGATTTGAAGGAGTTTAGAGAAGGTGACTCTCTGATATCCTTGGGGAGAGAGTTCCAGAGCGTGGGGGCATAAGAGAAGAAAGCCTTGTCACCCCTACAATGTAGACAGGCTTGGGGGACAGTAAGGAGAGCAGAATTAGAAGAGCAAAGGTTGCAAGGTGGGGAGTAGGGCGATAATAGATCAGACAGGTATTGAGGTGCCAAGCCATGCAGAGCCTTATAGGTGAGCATTAGGATTTTAAAGTCTACACAGAATTTGAATGGAAGCCAGTGTAAAGACTCCAGGATAGGAGTAATGTGATCATTTGCACTAGACCTGGTCAGGATTCTGGCTGCTGAGTTTTGGACATACTGCAGTTTGTTCAGAGTAGATTTAGATACCCCAGTGAGTAAAGCATTACAGTAGTCAATTCGAGAGAACACAAATGCCTTATATGAATTAAATGTATAGTCTTATATACAGGGTGTAATGTATTACACACTAAGTAAGTGGATGAAAAACTTACTAAATAAAATGCTGAATGTGGAAAAATCCAGAAAATGGGAAGAAATGCATAATGTGATTTCCACAGAGAGTCAGCTTACAGCCAGATGATCACTGTGAAACAGGTCACAGAAGGAGGCTGAAAGTTAGGTGGATTAGACATGCGCAAGAAACAAACGCCCTCAGACTAATGTTCTCTTCTGGTTTTAAGACTTAATTCACTGTCAGTACAGGCTTCCAGCCTCCTAAGGACAAATAACAAAACATGGATTAATGATCCTAAACCAGGCACTGGGGAATTACATTCAGTAAATTCTTGGATGCTAGTTTGCTATGCTTTAATTTGCTAGAATACATTTCTGTTTCTCTTTTTTTTAATTCCGGTGTCTATAAATACTCTTAACCCCATTAGGATTATGACGGATACATTAACAACTACTGTTAAAATTGTATTGATCCTTGGACACCATTAAATAGATGCAAACCTAGAAAAAGAAGGAAAGCTGGTAAACTGCACTTCTGTAGCATAGCCAATATCCAGATGGATATGGAGTAAGAAAAAGCAAAACCCATCTCTCTGACTCTGCATGTGCAGACGAGTATGTGGACTGAATCAGTCACTTCTGCTCACTTTGCACCCATATATGTTGGTGAGAAATACTGTTGTATTTAGCAAATAGACTTCAACACCCCAGCTGGAACAAAAGACGTTGAAAGATCAGCAGTATTTCTGTGGGCAGAAGGACAGGTATGGTAACAAAGCCTATGGAGATAACGTACTGTAGTTTGACAGCTGCATTCAAGCTGCATTGAAAATGAAACCAGAGTAAATTCTGGTCAGAGCTTCATTAGGAATTAAGCCTGTGGGAATTTTTGTAAATGCTTTAGAGCTACAGTTAATCACAGGTTTAGTTTTCACCCGCCTTGCCTGAAATACAGAAGACGTTATATAAAGGCAGACCTTTAAGGGGTGTCACCACCTTCCCCACCAAGGCTGAGAAAAGAATTTAAAAAAAAGACAACAAACAGAGCAAAATAACACAGAAACAGCCACATCCAATTTGCAGATCATAATTAGTGATTATGATTATTGCAAAGAGATTTTATAAAAAAACGGAAAAAAGTCCTCATATTATGCTACTTGTGTGATTACTTCTGGTCTTCAAATGCATGTAATTAACTTTCCTCCTTCGCATGGCTGCCAAGTCATGGAATAACAATGCAGCTATTGTACTGCACACCAAAGAACCCTTTTTTCAGTTTGCAAAGCTCCACATCAATACTGCTTCAAAATAATAGCAAAGCTCTAAAGTACATGTGTCAGTTGCGACAGCAATCTACAATCTACAATAGCCAGGAAGGTCACAGCCTCATAATGAGTCTGAATAAATTAGCTGCTGCATGCAATCACGTATTGTCAAAAAGATGTGTGGAAGAAGCAAACAAACATAAAACAGATTGCAATACAATTATGACACTGCTATAGAATTGCTATAATAATTAACAAAAGTTTGAGAAGTGTAAAAGGTTAGCTGTAATTTGTCTGAATATTTGCAATTTGGTTGTTATCCCACCAAGTCTTCCCAAAAGATTCAACAGTAGTAATTATGACTTTGCTTTTAACACAGATTTGGAATATAAAGGAAGCACTTAGATATATGCATCATATCTCAGCATTCTAAAGACGACCAATTGCAAGGAAATTGAAAATTGAAAGCAAAGTGAAAGTA